TTTTTTTTTTTTTACATCTTTATTGGAGTATAATTGCTTTACAATGGTGTGTTAGTTTCTGCTTTATAACAAAGTGAATCAGTTATACATATACATATGTTCCCATATCTCCTCCCTCTTGCGTCTCCCTCCCACCCTCCCTATCCCACCCCTCTAGGTGGTCATAAAGCACCGAGCTGATCTCCCTGTGCTATGCGGCTGCTTCCCACTAGCTATCTACCTTACGTTTGGTAGTGTATATATGTCCATGCCTCCCTCGCTTTGTCCCAGCTTACCCTTCCCGCTCCCCATATCCTCAAGTCCATTCTCTAGTAGGTCTGTGTCTTTATTCCTGTCTTACCCCTAGGTTCTTCATGACATTTTTTTCCCTTAAATTCCATATATATGTGTTAGCATACGGTATTTGTCTTTCTCTTTCTGACTTACTTCACTCTGTATGACAGACTCTAGGTCTATCTACCTCATTACAAATAGCTCAATTTCATTTCTTTTTATGGCTGAGTAATAGTCCATTGTATATATGTGCCACATCTTCTTTATCCATTCATCCGATGATGGACACTTAACGGAAACACGTCTCAAGTTCTCCACAGCCAGCTGAAAGGCTCTGACAGTGAACTGATACTCAGCTAAGACGCAAAGCGAGCTAGATGCATATTTGCAAATGTTCATGTCTGAAGAGGCACAGTGTTCACCCAGACCCCCCCGGAAAAAATGAGGAAAATATATGACAAACAGGAAAATGGCTAGATTTCAAACTCACTGCTTGTAAAACTGTACTGCTTACATTCTGAAGAGTTAACAGGAAGCAGCCTAAAATCCCATTACGATCAGAACTGTCTCAAGATGTGAGGAGGCGTCCTGGAGGCTGTTTTACTCTACATCAAGGGCAGAAGCTTCTCAAGGAGAAGAGAAGAGATGTAGCCGGCTTCTTGCAGCCCACACCTGAGACTGTCCCAATGTCAAAGCTCAGGGCATTAATTACAAACATTATACTGTCTTTACACTCTTTTCTCATCAATAATTTTCAAACTAAGCAAAAGATACGAAAGAATGACAGAGACGGAGGGAGGAATGTCTCAGTTCAAACACGACCCATAGAGCGTCCTACACACCTCTTCCCTGTGTTAAATTCCTCCAAGGTCTGCAATCTTTTTTTTTTAAAGGCAATGGAGCTCTTTCCTCAAATGAAATCCCACCTGCTGGCCCTCAATACAGAACCATAAAAACAGCCATCCAGACAGAGGTGTGGGCCAGGAGCCCAACCATCTGCAAAGCTGCTTTGGGGTCCTGCCGACAGGCCTAGGGAACCCAGTCGAAGCTGCAGCCCACCTCGCTTCCATCCCCCGCTCGACACCATGCTGTCTGCCACCTGGGCAACCATGTTGTTGGACACAGCACAAGGTGCTTGTGGGCCTGCCTCCTCCAGTGGCCCAAGGCCCTCAAAGGCAGCTGCTGCATCTCACACACTGTGTCCCCAGCCTCTCTGGGTCCCATGCCTGTCACACTCCAGGTGTGCAGTCTGCTGGGGACACTGGCCAGCACAGCTCAGAGGGGACGGTGACATAAGCCTCACAGTTCCGTCACTCCAGGTGAGGGAAGAATGTGAAGCCGAGACTTCCTCTGACATATTCTTAACTGCTTTAGCATCTGTTCCCTCAACTGATCATTACAAAAGCCCTGGGAATTAGGCAGGAAATAATTCACACCGCTTGTCACAGAGGAGGAAACTGAAGCAGGGAGAGGTTAAGTGTGTGTGCAAGGTCACTCACTGGGCCATGGCACGCATCTCTCAGCAGACTGCAGGGGCAGTAAAATCCTACAAAAATAAAATGCTGTAATGAATAAATCCAAGTGCTTCACACAGAAACACACATCTGCTATTGGATACTAAGATGCCTTTGGGGGATGGGGAGGGAAGAGACTCAAGAGTTGAGACTACTACCTCTTTGTAATTCCCGTAATACTAATTTTGAGAAGAGAAAAAAATACTGAGCATTTTTACTTGAAAATAAAATGGAAACATGAAATATATAGTGACAAGAAGTAAGCAATTCATTAATAAAAAGCAAAGTAAAAAAGGTTCCCAAAAAAGTTATGGTTTCATACTATACTGTTCGATTTTGCCAAAATTAAACTGAAATCTCAAGTATAAAATGTTCTGGCATTTTATGGGTTCTCCTGTACTTGGAAAACACAAGTTTTACATTTACAAAGGTTTTAACTAGTCAACCCTTATATTAAAAAATGAATTATCAATATATAATTTTATTAGGTTATTATACATCATTTTATCATGAACGTAAAATAGGCGCCTTAAAGAAACACCTGAAATTAGGTTTTAAAAATGACCCAGAGGCTCACCATAAAATAACCACCTACGTGCGGCATTTTGATTAATTTCCTTCCAGTTAGTTTGACAATGTGGGTAGCTTCCTTCGGTTGCTTTATGATGTGGTAATCACACCACATACACCATTTCGTATCCTGGTTTTTCTCCTTAACATTATATCATAAGAGCTCTTTCAGATTATTACGTCATCTTTATAACCACGATCTCTAATTTATTGAACTACTATATGATCCTTTAAGTGGTTATAGCACAGTTTACTTAACCAGTCTCCTATTTTTGTAGTAGCCTGTTGCCAAATTTTTACTATCATAAATAATGCTTTAACGACCACAACTTTTATTTTCTTCCCATTTTGTCTCTTTTAGATAAATTCCTAAAGCATATTACCAGGTCAAAGCAGATGAGAATTTTTTAGACTTGCTTAAAAACTGTATCAAATCTTTGCCACCCCAAAGATCGAATGCATATTATTACCAGCAATGAATGAAAATATTTATTTGATTAAACCGTTACAAATGATCAATAAAGTCATCGGTATCATTTTCTCTGTTAATAAGTGAAAATATACCCTCTCACTATGCTATTTCGCATTTTTCCCCGGAGAGTACATACTTTCCCATCATGATTACTGACTAGTTGAACTTCTTTCGCGAACGATGTACGTCCATTATCCATTTATCAACTGGCTGTTGATGCAGATTTTAAAGTAAATTTGTATGAGCATTTCCTATAATTAAGCTGCTAACTCAGTATTCACGGTGTCGGTGGGGAATGTTATTTCCCCAATCTATTAACACAGGCAATTTTGGTGTTGCTTCTTACCTGGACAAGCCCAGGGTTCTTTGCCTTTGTCATTCGTTACCAGCCCCTGAGCCAGCTCTCCTCCGGGCCCGCCCCAGCCCCGCCGCCTTACGCTTTTCCCCCTCAGCTCCCGTAGTTTTAACATGACACATCACGTTCGAGGGGCGTTTACCTGTTGGTCATCAGGCGTCCATATGCCACACGTGATCTGACTTTCCAAGTTGATCTCAGATGACCAGTGTCTTTGTCCACTGACAGAACCAACCAGGACAAACCCATCTCGATATGAAATAAGTGCTTGAGTCCCGTCGTGGCTCCACGTGAAATCACTCACCTTTGGGACACACAGATAAAAGGAGTCAAGTTGTAATCTGAAAGGGAAAGCACTTTTATCAAAGGCTAGACCTAGTCATTACCTTAGCCTTTGGCTAAGATCAAGATGGCCTTAAAGAGACAATACAATATGCTGTTGCATGTATTTTAACAATAACACATAAAACACATTATTGGAAAAGCATATGCCAGTGTGGAGGTGCTAAGTGCTTCACACATGGTAATTCATTAAGCCCATGGTAATACCTCCCACAGCAGAGAGAAGCAACTTCTCCTTGGTCTCACAGAGCTGGTGAGGGGCAGAGCCAAAAATGATCAAGGGTTGTGTGGCTCCAGAATCCTTGCTTTTAGACACTGTTCTACGGCCTGGCCCTTATAGTACCAGATTCTCCATCAGCGTCTCGTGGTCACTTGTCAAGACAGTAAAGCTCTCAGTTTCTGACTATATACGTTTCTCAGTCTTGCTAACAACATTCCCGCAATCAAAATGAGAAATAATCTCTAACCGGAACACATTACTTATACTTGGGTGTTGAGTTCTATCAAATGCATTTATTGCATTTATTCAAAGGACCACATGTTTTTCCTCTTTAATCTATTACTGCAGCAAATTACTTCCATGGATTTCCCAGTTTTATGCCTTCCTTACATACCTAGAAGCAGCCCAACTTCGAGGTCAAGTATTGCCCTTTACACATACAGTTGAAGTGGATTATGTGTTTGGGATTTTCCACATCTGTATTCACGAGTGAGGCAAACTTGTGATTTCATTTTTTATAACGTCTTTGTTTGAATTTATCAGGGTTAATGCTGACCTCTCAGAATGAGTTAGAGGGTAGTCCCTTTACTTCCATGGCCAGGAATAATTTGTATAAACTGGGCCGACCTGGTGCTTCATAGTTTGGTGGAGCATGCCTGTGAAACCATCTGGCTTTGCACTTTTTTGTGGGATGATTTTTAATCATTGCTTCAATTTATTTAATAGTGTTAGCAGCAGGCAAGCTTCTCTTTTTATTTCTTCTTGAGTCAGTTCTATTCAAATACTTTTTTAGGAATTTATCCAGTTCATGTAAGTTCTCAAAACTGTTGGCAAGTAGTTGTTAACAGTACTTATTATCCTTTTAAATATCACCTTTAGTGAGCTATAATTTACGTGCAATAAATAAAGTTCCCCTTGGCAGTCAATTCCCTGCCCTCACCCTGGGTCTGAGGCAACCAGTGACCTAACTTCTGTAACTAGCTGCTTATTCTAGGAATTTCGCATGAATAGAACCACACAGTATGTTCACTTTTCTTTATGACTGCTTCTGCTCAGTGTAATAATTTTGAGAGTATTCTGATTTCTTGTGTGCACCAGTAGTTCATTCCTTTTTATAGATGAGTCATATTCCATGGCATAAATATACCGCAATTTATTCATCTCCCCAAAGGGCTGGGCATGTGGGTTGTTTCCAGTATTTGCTTATTACAGAATTGCTATGAGTATTCACGTGCAAGACTTTCTGTAGGCACATGGTTTCATTTTTCTTGAGTAAATACCTAGGAATGGAATTAACTGCTGGGTCACATGGTAAGTGTATGTTTAAATGCATAAGAAATTACCAAGCTTTTCCCAAGTGGCTGAACCATTTCACATCCCCATCAGCAGTGTATGTGAGTAGGTCCACACCTCAGCAGCACTCGGTGTTGCCAGTCTTCTTTATTTTAGCTATTCTAGTAGGTGTGTAATGGTAGGACACTGTGCCTTTATTTTGCATTTCCCCAATGACTAATATGCTGAGCATCATTTCATGTGCTTATTGCTCATATGCACATCCTCTTTCGGAACCTTTCTATTCACATCCCTTGCCACATATATCTATTTGTATATCCGTTCACGTTCACCTATTCATTATATACGTAAATACACACACATACACATATGTATACAGATATATAGACGTTTTCGACCTTATTGTGTTGTAAAAATTCTAGATACTATCCTTTATCTGAATATGTGCTGCAAATAATTTCTCCCATTCTGTAACTTGCCTTTTCATTTTCTTAAGGATATCTTTCAAAAAGTAAGTTTTAAATTTTGATGAAGTCCAATATCAAGTTCTCTCTCTTACGTTTCATGCTTTTTGTATCCAATCCAAGAAATCTTTACCTAACCCAAGGTGGCAAACGCAAACTTTCCAGAAGAGGTGTACAGCTTTTACATTTATGTCTATGATTCATTTAATTTTTGCACAGGGTGTATGGTAAGAATCAAGGTTCTACTTTTTAAATTTTAAATGCAGATATTCAGTTGCTTCTGCACCATTTGTCAAAAAGACTATTCCTTGGATGTCAAATAGACCTATCGTGGCGATCATTTCCCAGTAGATACAAAGTTTGTTGTACACCTGAAACCAGTATGTTATATGTCAATTATACCTCAATTTAAAAAAAAAAAAAAAGGTGATTCTTCCCCCACTGAATTACCTAGGCATCTTTTATTTACCTTTGACTACCTTGTAATCTCTACCTTATCTACAGTTATGCTCAACTTTTCATTCATAAAATTATTTTAGGTTTCATCTTTCTTCTCTCACTCAAGGCTTGCCAGCAGTTTGTCTACTTCATTAATTTTTTTCCAAAGAACACATTTTTGAATTTGTTGATCTCCTCTATTGTATGAATTTTTTGCTATTGCATTAATTTCTACTTCTACTTAAATTATATTTTCTTTCTCCTTTTATTGGATTTACTCTGTTCATTTGATCAGAGTTTTATTCCTTTCTAATATACATAAATTAAGGATATATATTCTCTTTAAAAAAAAATTAGTTTATTTATTTATTTATTTAACTTCGGCTGCGTGGGGTCTTCGTTGCTGCACGCAGGCTTTCTCTAGTTGCGGCGAGCAGGGGCTACTCTTCGTTGCGGTGCGCGAGCTTCTCATTGTTGTGGCTTCTCTTGTTGCAGAGCATGGGCTCTAGGCACGTGGGCTTCAGTAGTTGTGGCGTGTGGACTCAGTAGTTGTGGCTCGCGGGCTCTAGAGCTCAGGCTCAGCAGTTGTGGTGCACGGGCTTAGTTGCTCTGCGGCATGTGGGATCTTCCCGGAGCAGGGCTCGAACCCGTGTCCCCTGCACTGGCAGGCGGATTCTTAACCACTGCGCCACTAGGGAAGACTCTAGGATATATATTTTCTTATATCACCACTTTAATCCTATCTCACAAGTTTTGATATGTAGATAGTCCGTTATCATTCAGATCTAAGATTTTATAAATGGCCATTAAATTTGTTCTTTAACCCATGAGCTATTTAACAATGCATTTAAAAATGACCAAACGTCCAAATATTTGGTCAGCAATTTTCCTTCTTTTCTTTTTTTCTGGCCACGCTGCATGGCTTGTGGGATCTTAGTACCCTGACCCAGGGACTGAACCCGGGCCCTGGCAGTGAAAGGGCCGAGTCCTAACCACTGGACTGCCAGGGAATTCCCACCAATTTCTTAAATTTATGTTTTTGTTATTAACTTCTAACCCATTCAGAAATCATGGTCCATAATCATGAGAGCTACCAATGGAAATCTGTTTAGGTTTTATGAATGCCCTAAAACACAGGTTGGCAAACTATGGCCAGTGGGCCAAATCTATTTGCCACCTACTTTTGTACAGTCCACAAACTATGGTTTTTTTTGTTTTGTTTTGGTTTGTTTTTTTTTTGCGGTACGCGGGCCTCTCACTGTTGTGGCCTCTCCCGCCGCGGAGCACAGGCTCTGGATGTGCAGGCTCAGCGGCCATGGCTCACGGGCCTAGCCGCTCTGCGGCATGTGGGATCTTCCCAGACCGGGGCACAAACCTGTGTCCCCTGCATCGGCAGGTGGACTCTCAACCCCTGCGCCACCAGGGAAGCCCCACAAACTATGGTTTTAAATGGTCAGGAAAAAATTTCGAGAGGAATGATACTTTGTTGTGTGTGAAATTATATAAAATTCAAATTTTAGCATCCATAAATAAACTTTTAAACTTTATCAACAAAAAGTTTTCTGGTTTTCTTTTCTTTCTTGTTAGTACTTACGTAATATACTCAATTCTGACTCCTCATCCACAAAGCCTAAAATATGTACTATCTTGCCCCTTCACAGAAAAGGTCTGCGAAACCTCAGAACATGATCAGTTTTTGTAAACATTCTGTGTGTGTCTGAGAAAAATGTATGTTCTCTACTTGGTGGATTCAGAAACTACAAGTGTCCATCAGGTCAAGCTTGTTAACTGCGTTGCTCAGATCTTCTATATCTTTGCCGATTTTTGTTGTTGTTGAAACTTCTCGGTACGTCAATGAATTTATCAGTTTTTACTTTCAGTTCTGTCAATTTCCTTCATATATTTTGATGCTATTATTAATAAGTGCATCAATATTTAAAATATCATCTGGGTAAACTACAGCCTTTATCATTATGTGGTAGCACTCTATAAACGAAACATTACTTTCTATCTTTAAGTCTATTTTATCCAAAAGTAACAGTTGCTACTCCAGGTTTCTTTTCTCCTGGATATTTGCTCAATATATCTTTTCCACCTTTTTACTTTAAACTTGTATATGTCCTTAAGTTTTAGGTGTGGCTCCTAACAGCATATAGCTATGTTTTTAAAAACGTAATCTGTCAAGCATCATCTTGATCGGTGAAGTCAGCCCAGTTACATTTATTCTAATTATTGTTATATTTGGTCCTGTTTCTATCACCTTAACTTACTTTTTCAGTTTGTACTACCTTTTAAATATTTTCTAACTTAAAAAAATTGATTATCATCTTCACTGTTGCTTATACTTGGAAATGTTCACCTTCATTGAAATCTGTAACATTACTGGACTTTTCACACTTCAGGTATTAATAAAACAAATGAACAAACACCAAAAGGACATGAACTTCTTGCTGTTTTCCCAGCAGGGATTATAGGTTATCAGTGGTCAGCACGTCCCCCTCATGACAATGGCATGGGGGTGTAGAGACAGCTCCTCGACAGCTGGTCTGAAGGTACTGGAAAAAGCTGTTTGTTTTTCAACTCGGAATCTTGGTTTCTCTGACCTTATGTTTCAACCAGTTACGTTATCTAGTTTTTCTTAAGAACTGAAAAGATTTTTTTTTTTTTTTTTTTTTTTTTTACAGACAACACACTAATTCTGCAATAAACTGTAAAGGTCCTTTCATTTTGCAAAGATAATGCTACTTATTTACATGGGTCTTAACTCATTTATCTTTGTGCTAAAGGAAAAACATCTCACTAGAGTGAGAAAACATATAGCCAGTGACAAGATGCTTCTCCAAGGCACCACTCATCTTACAGTCACAAAAAATGATAACAGAGGATGTTTACATGATCTAATTGTGCTTATTAAATTAGGTTGGCATAGAGTGATAAGACTATACCAAAACTGGAAAAACAAAACCAGGGGAACTGAGTCCCTAGTGCTGTTAAGGAAATAAGCAGAAAGCCCTCTGCTGTGGTCTATCCGATGCGGGGGGCCGTGGCACTCCTGCCCCACGTTCAGGGCTCTCTCGACATGACTGACCAAAGCTGAGGAGCAGCCTGGACGGCCCGCCGCCCAAGACAGCCTTTCCTTTGACGGTCCGAGGCCTGTGCCTGGCACAGCCGGCCTGTGACCAATGCTATGAAATAATGCAGGCACTGTTCCAGACTCATTTTTGAAATAAAGGACTCATAATCATTTCCTGAAAAAAAGAGTGTTAAAGCTTCACTTGGCTTCTGCCAAATGTCTGATGACTTCACGACAATGAAAGGCATGCTATATAACAAAGATCACCTGTCATCTCTTCTAAAGAGTATCACTTCAAGGACGCTCCTCCTCCAGGCACAGAACTGTCCCTCCCGCCCCCAGACACCGATCCCGGCGCACGGACCCTCCACTCCCTCCACCAGTGAGCCATCCTCACCAGTGCATGACGCTTCTCATACAAGACGAGACTCCAACACAATTAAAAGCGGCCAAATCTCCCCCAAATGCAAGTGCTTAACGATAACAATTGCTCAATGGATTCTGAGGTCTGTAGAATCAGAGTGGCAAACAGCAAAGCCATATGAAGATCTGGATCAGATCACAAGATACAGTGATTACTCTGGTCGAACCTGAAAGGAACAGGCTTTTGGGAGATTCTAGGTGCTTCCAGATGTTCTATGGTCCATGTAAGCTCATTCACTTCCGGGTCTGAATTCATCTGTTCTTGTTTCTAACACGCTTTTTGTTTGCGCCAAACTCTCAATGAAAAGAAAGGCTGAGGGTATATGGCGGTGGCGGAGGCCACACAGCTCTGACGTGGAGGTGACAGATGTCTCCCTCCTCAGAGAAGCTGCCGTCAGCAGGAGACAGTGTGGCAGCACCACCAGGCTGGGGGGGCCGGACTCGCCAATGGCAGTGAAGCCTGAGCTCTCTGGATGTACTATGAGTATATGCATTTCTGCTAAAGAGAAAACAGTTTATTGTCTGGGAACAAGACAGAGCTTTGGATTCAAACCTGGGTTCAAATTCTGGCTTTACAAACCATGAACTAATTTCCTTGGGTGAGTTACTCAACCTCCCTGAGCTGGGTTTTTTCTTCCATTAACTGAGAGTAACAACATCTTCCCAACAGGGTTCCTGTGGAGGTGAGGGATGACACCTGGAAAAGGCCAGCACCGAGTGCCATTCTGTAAGAGTAACACTCTGTAAGACCTCTTGCCGGCCAAGGTCTGAAGACATGTCTCATGTGATCACTGAGCCTTTCCAGGGAAAGGCTTCACTCTGGTGCATGGGAGAACAATGGCACTTTAAAGACCCTCATGGGCAAGTTCAGAAGAGTCTCCACTTCACGGGAAGCTGTGAAGAGTTGCTGCCTCAAGGCCTGAAGCTGGTCTTTGGTGATGACATTATGGCGACAACTTAAGGGCAGGTATGCCCTGTGGTCGGCGGCTATGGGTGCTGGCACCTCATAAGTGCTTCAGGCACCATCACAACTTGTGGGGACAACCATCATGTGCAGACAGTGGCACAGCATTTTCCACATTTAATCTGGTTTTTTTTTTGGCCCGTGCCACGCAGCTTGCAGGATCTCAGTTCCCTGACCAGGGACTGAACCCGAGCCACAGTAGCGAAAGCCTGGAATCCTAACCACTGGGCTACCAGGGAACTCCCTTCCATATGTACTCTTCTGTAATCCTCCCAAGTGATCCGTGGAGGCAGGCACCATTAAACTCCCTGTGTACAGATGAGGAAACTGAGGCACAGAAGTAAAGTATCTCCCACTGAAGCGTGATGGACTGAGATGCTGACTCCAGAGCTCATGCTCTTGACCACAGTGTCCACCTTCTGGGTGACGTGAACTTCTTATGGCCGTGAGGTTTCCACATCTGTGGCTCAATTTCAAGGTTAGTTAGTAGTCACAGTGTAGGTGCCACCTCTTCCTTTTTCCACTCACGGCGGAATATAGGAAACCGGTAAGGCCTTACCAGAGTCAGTCAAAATTATTACACTGACCCAACCAAATAAATAAACTCACACAAAGAAGTATGTTCTGTTTGCACCCAGAGGTAGGTTTGCCTTCTGTGATGACATCTTACAAAGTTCCTCAGCCTAACAGTAACTGCTAGTAAGAGCTTCATTCCCTGCAATTTTATGTCACCTCACCGGTCTGCATCCTTCGAAGTTGGAGAGCTCGTAGCTTATTTAAGCAACAGATGGGAGGAGAGAGGGTGAGAATTCCTTTCCTTAGGAATGTATAGAAAGGCAGTCACAGGGGAACCACCCCGCAGAGTCAAACAGACTAAGAAACCCCTTGTCAATAAAGGTTCCCCCAGCACTCAGGCCTGTCAAATCCTTGGCACGGGACCCGTGTCCTTAAACACACGAGACAGGAGCTCTACGCAGCCGTCCTCACAGGGAGGGAGAGCCAGGGCCATACCATCAGCCACGGGAACCCACGAAGTGGTTTTTAAAATAGCACAGCTCGGCAGGGCGTCCCTGGAGCAACTGTTTTCCTCAGAGCAGCGACAAACTGGTACCAGAAAGGGAGAGCTGAGCGATGACAACAGGTGGCCCCACTAATTGAAACCTGACCAAAGGGAGTGTGAAAAACTCGGCTTGGGGATTGGCTGTGAGAACGGTCGTGTGGAGCTCCCCGTGAGAGAACTAGGAAGATGACAACACGGGAAAATGCCTTCCACAGGGCAGCAAAGAAGCCCTACGCCAGGAGCGCTTCGTTAAATCGGAATTTAACAGGTAATCACAACACTGAGTGGTGAAAAACGACTTCACAGGTTTAATTAAAGCTTAAGGCCTGGAGCGTTCTCACAACAGCCGCAGAGTGGAAGAGAAGGAAGGACGATCCTTCTCTCGCTCTAGTGATGTACTCAACGGGCAGCACGAGAAGCAGGATGCTGGTTTCATTCATCTGCCCTCCGCCCTTCCCTGGAGGAGCGTCCTGCCCGCTCACCTGGGCCCCTCGGTCGTTGACCAGCTCCACAGACCACCGCCCTTCGTACTGGATCCACACGAATATCCCGCCGTCCGCATCGCACGTGGCCAGCTTCTGGTACGGCTCATTCCACCTCACCAACACGACCTAGGAAACGACCAAAAAGACACTTACTGCAGGGAAGGAGCCCGTGGGCCGCAATCACGTCTACGAGGTTATCAGACCCAGAACTAACTAGAACGCACGGACAAAGGCAAGGACTCAGGGAGGATGGGGGGTGGGGAGTCCAGCAGAGAGGACACACAGCAGCGCCTCAGGGGACCAGGCCCACGTGACGTGGCCTCCTGACAAACAGCAGGCACCTGAGCAAACCACGAACCACAGCGTCCCAGCGCCCGTTGCCGTGACCGCAGAACGGGCCCAGAGCCCACCCGCACCCGGCCCTGCCTCCACAGTGCCAGGCTCGCTCGCCTGAGGGCCCTGGGCGGTGGGGAAATGATTTCCTCGAAACCTACTGTGTGTACCTGAGTCAGGGCACTATTTGCTTGGTACAGATGGAAGAAAGGGTGCGGCCTATGTAATCTCATTTTCTCCCAAGGTGAAATTTTCTGTACCTTTGCCAGGCTACATTATTTCCAAGTAGTTCAGCATCTAAGCGTGCCAATTTGGAAAAAATACACAGTTGAAATATCTAAGCTGTTCAGGATTTATCACAGAGGAAATACGAAGAAACTATAAGCTTCAAAACGGATGAGTATGAGAACTTAATTTTTAAATTTGAAAAATCCCGAACGTGGACAATCATTTTCATCTTTCTCAACTATCACTCGTTCACGTAAAAGGTGGCCGCAGGTAGGTGGTCTGTGGGATCAGCCCTCACAGAGCCCAGTAAAACCTGTAAGGGCACAGGGCTATGAAGTGGTCCCAGGAGGCACAAAACCAGCGCCGGGCTCCCCACGGGGAATGCTTCCGGAGGTCACCTGGCTCGCCTGCGCTGGTGACCGTGATCGTTTCCTTCGTTCAGCTCGTACTCATCAGATCCATGCTGCACGCTGCCGCGTGACCAACACGGAGGTGGAGAAGACGGGGCCTGCCCTTGGCAAGCTGAAAGTCCAGCTGGGAGCCAGAAGAGCCATGGATACGTGGACACATACGGATGTATGTCAGTCAAATGAGGACTGTTACTAACCAGCAAGAGCACCCCTGCTGCTCATAAGATGCGAATCCCGTCTCCTCCCAGGACTTTGTGCCTAATAAGCTAACAATCCTCGTGAATACGTGGCACCGGTGCATATGGTCCCCAAGTTCCACTTATGTTCTAAACCACTGACTGCGAGCGGCTGAGGCCAAGGACTGACTGTCACGGGCCTCCAAAAGCACAGCTCCCTCCTCACGTCCATCTGCATCCAAACCACAGACCAACACAGAAGCCCTGCCCCTTCTCAAAGTTGTACCATGGGCACCAGAGAGCCGGGAGAGGCCCCCCAGCCTTGATTCACCACACTTGGTGGTACCAGCATTTGTTGCAAGATGCATACTAAAATCCTCAAATTGTCCAAGAGGAAATTACTACCCACTTAAAATGTAAGGATACTGTAGCTCTTTTTAAAAACTGTGCATCAAGAGCTGAAAGGCCGCAATCTTTTGAGACCTGGCAATTGTCGGCCAAACGTAAGCTAGTCAATGGCCCGCCTGCAAAACGGATGCCAGTTCCGCGGATGTGGACACTGCCAGCTGCCAGCAGCCCCATCTAGCTTTTGTCCCTCCACTGCGACTGCCTGTCCCTCTCTGGTCACTGCTCTGCAGGTGCCGTGCTGACACCACCTGCTATAACCACAGGTTTACGTGCACCCTCCTCCCCCTGAGCTGGGCCACCGGAGGAAAAGGGCAGAGGCATGCTCACCTCTGAACACTGACACACGGGAATGCTGAGCATATCGTGCCAAACAGCCACACGTAAGTTACGATTCTCATTCAGTTATGCTTTGAAAACTGCTTCAAGCAGGTTACTTTCGACTCCCAAAGGCATTTTAACAAGAGCCAATACTGACAGACGGCCTATTACAAACCATGAGGCTGCGAGGATAGAAAGTTAGGAAATCTTTGTCCCTGCGGAGTTCAGTTCACTAAACAGACATAATACCCTGCTCTACATGCAAGTACAGAGTTGTGAACATACACAGGAGGGGGCCTCAAAACAGGCGGACGGGAGGGCAACAAATCCAGATTCATTTTTTTAAAGTCTAGCTTTAAAAATTCTGTATTTAAATTACTGATCTAATTTTTAAAAATAGTAAAACCAACACAGTTAAAGTCTTTAAACGCACCACACTGAATGTGTCATAAAATTCAGAATTTCCAAGTAGCCAATAAAAACCAACTTCATAAACTTCTTTCGGACCCAACAACAATCGGCCTGAGCAGTGCCGCCCCACAATGTGCTGCAATTTGGTCCCTCAAGACACCTGCGTCACCTAAGCCCACAATCACTAATGCACTTCAGGATGGCTACAAGAGGGCGGAATATGACAAACAAGAACATTTATTTCCTAAGTTAAATACAGTGAACATTCATCTACTATGACCTTCCTTATAATATTTGATGACAAGATGTCACATTTCAGAGAACAGAGGTTAGTCACATTTTCTATACTTTTGCCTTTTTAACAACCATCGCCACACATGATTGCATACTTAGTTATTATCAGTAACAAAACCTCTCTTCTTCATGAAGACAGCCTGCAAGTCGCAGCATGACACAAACAAAAGAGCAGAGGCAAAAAAACATTTTAAAGTTATTTCTAACGTTAAAAATGTCTTGGTCTTGGGACAACACAGTAGTAGTTGTTGGAGAAACAAAGAGTTCACAGACTCAATGTCATCTTTTCGTAATTCCCAATCAGTTGAGATGCAGCAGTAAACAGAAGTGCAGTCCCCATACACACACTTCTTTGCTGTGAGTATAACCGGTATAACTGAATATAGGTGGGTTGCTCCCCTAAATTAGAGAGAGAAATCTTTCCAGTGATCCTTGGTTTAAAAATAAAGTTAAACTGCAATGTTGTTTCCCTGGATTAGTTTTCTCATTTCCGCTCTCGTCTGCGATTCGGAGCTGCCCGTCTTATCTCCCGGCCGCTTATTTCCTGTTCTGTGAATCCCTCCAGTCTGCTTGGCAATGTCAGGACATACCAGAGTGTTGAGGAATTACCAAGCAGGGGCCAGCTGGGTTCTCAGTTGCCCAGATGACGTGGCAGGGTGCTAAGCAGCTGCCCAAGCATTCTAAGGCAGAGCTTTCCTTCCCTTTTAAAGGAAAATGGGGCTCCTATTTGCTTTGGGCACAAAAGAACTTCAGCATTTAACATGTTAGCTGAAGCATGTGTTCCTCTACAGACAGAGGCTAAGCCAAGTTTTGACCCAGGTCTTTGATTATTCCCCCCAAATGCCAGCCTGTCACCCTCTCCAATGTTAAGGTTTCTATCATTTTATAGCTATCCTTATCAATAAATACTTATTGAGTACAATTAACGGTAGAGAAATCTACACTAAAAATACAGTGCAGGTCTGCTGAAGGCCTATTTGGGCTGTACTCTAATGCCCTCAATTAGTCACTTCACCTCCTACTTCTAGAACTATTTTTAGGCAGAACAAAACTCTAGTGCCAGTTAATCCAAGGCACCAGTTCATCCAAGAATGTTCATCGTTTGAGGCAGGAACCCTTCAAATGGTGTTGGTAGATATAATTTCTATTTTATAGATATATACAGGAAACCACCGCAGTGAACAACCAGTATCACCAATGTTCAGAAATATTTCCCTCAACCCTCAAAGAATGTAATCTGGACATACGTTAAATACAAATAGCTCAAGTTATAAATCCCTGTAAGTGATTATTACCACTCAGTTCTTCTTATTCTGTAATTTATTAAGTGAAACAGCACTAACTTCACTTGTACAAGAAAAACAAAATGAGGGCCAACTGAATTTTAGATACATTTAGCTGTTTTTTAACAAAGAACCAAAAGCACCCTGAAAAAGAGGCTGGAAGAAATTCAATGTGGACAACGGTTTCATGCCCACCAGCATGACGGTCCCGTGAGGTCCAGAGCTCAGCCCCGGCCGCACCGCTCACCAGCTGCATGGCCTCGGGCACCCTGTTGACCCGCTTGGGTACCTTTTCCTCATCTGCAACGGGGGTAACAGCAGCAATCCTTCTAGAGCTACTGTGAAAACTATGATGAGAAAGGACCTTAGAGCAGCACCAGGCACACAGCAACGTCCCCCTACCCAGTTCTGGTGCACGCATTCACACCCTGCACACCATCTCTGGTTCTCACCAGCCTGATGATTTCTTTGCATCTGCATTCCTGAAGCCTGGCACGATGCCAGGCACACAGCAGCACTCCACAAATCTTTCTAAATTAAAATATTCCTGAAGGACGATTAACCATATTTCTTTAGAATTTTATACTGTTCTCTTTCAACACTAAGATGTTAAAACTAGTCCAAGTGAGATCTGGGGTGGGGCGGGGGGGCGTCAACAGTTGTACTGAGACAAAACTGACATACCATACAACCCATTTAAAAAGTAAAACTCAATGGTTTCTGTATCATTTATAGAGCTGTGCAATCATCACAGTAAATTTTAGAACATCTTCATCAGCCTCCAATACTCCCTTCAGCCCGAGACAATCACTGATCTTTTGTCTGTTCATATTTGCCTACTCTGGACACTGCACATAAATGCAATCATACAGTATGTGGCCTTTTGTGCCTGGCCTCTTTCACTCAGCATAATCTTTTCAAGGTTTATCCATGTTGGAGCATGTACCAGTACTCACTTCCTTTATATGGTCAAATAAAATTTCACTGTATGGATATACCATTTTGTTTATCCATTCAGTTGATAAATATCTGGGTTGTTTCCACCTTTTGGCTATTATGAATAATACTGCTATGAACATTTGTGTATCCATTTTTATTTTCTTGGGTATACGCCTAGGAGTGGAGTTGCTGAGTCAAACGATAATTCTATGTTTAACTTTTTGAGGAACTGCCAGATTGTCTTCCAAAGTGGCTGCTCCAATTTACATTCCCAGCAACAATGTATGAGGTTCCAGTTTCTTCACATTCTCTCCAACACTTGTTAT